ATAAAAAACAAATAAAAAAATAAAGGTAAGTTACGATCTATTTTTGTGTAGATGGACAAAGTATAAAAATCCTTGCCCACTTGAGGCACAAAGATTGACACTCGTGTAGCTAAATGATACTCTGTTCAACCTAGTCAGTTGTTTTATCTAAACATAAACAGTTTAATGCACAATGAAATTATACAGGCCTAACTAACACAATCAGCTGCAACAAAATAACTTAAAACTCTGTTGTTTTCTCCAGACTGGAAATGTGTGTTAACTTAACTGGTAACTTTAAACTGTTCCTAAATCAATGGTTGTTTATTTCTACGTGGCCCTGTGATGGACTTGTGACTTGTTCAGTGTGTGCCCCACCCTTGCACAATAATCCCTATAAGCACATACGACCCAGAAAGGGAAAATGAGTGGATGCTTATTACCCTTATGACCAAAGAGAATGTCATTTGAACTTACCTTGGTACTGGGCGCTGAAACCTCTTAACCTGTTGTTGCCGTCAGATGTAAAGTGAAGCCGAAGCCAGTTCTTGCTGCTAATGATAGGGGAGGGGAGGTTGGGCCCAGTAAACCTGCCAGCAGAGAGAAGAGACCCATCATCTATTTTGCACTCTAATAAAAACGTTGTAACTTGTAGACTTCATTTGTCGGCAACATTTTGTAATTCCACTTAATAACTATGGAAACACAAAAGTGCATGCAATTGAATGACACTTTATAGTAACAACACCTTATTCAACCTTACTTAATTGTTATTAAATGATTAGTTAACCTTTAAAATATCCTTAATAATGATTAATACTTAACAAGCTATAAACACATTTATTAATGCTTTACCCATGAATAATTACTTCCAAAACCAACACATTTGTTTATTCAAGCCTAGTAACTCATGAATGACCTATTGGACATCCCTTGTCTAATCATTAATACATGCCTAACAAATGGTATGAAAGTAAATTTAATTAGGCATTTGCAAATATATACACACATATTTAAGAATAATTAAAGTGTTAATTTATTGCTTTTTAAGTATAAATCATTTTCAATTAATGATGTTTTCAACGTTAACTTATCATTTAATATTGATTAAGTGGGGCTAAATAAGGTGTAGTGATGTCACTACATTAAAATAGTCATACTTCTGTTTCATTGTAATTCTATCATGTTTATCATAAATTCAAACTCAGTGATACACAATGTTTTGTCAAGGGTACAGTAAAAGGTTTTTTTTCAGGGTAATCACACTAATGTTTAAAGTAAATATGGTCGTGACTTAAACTGTTAACATGGTGCTCACATAAAATCCAATACATTGAGGATTTGGCTCTTAAGTAGAGCCATGAAGTTAACACTTAACCAATCGGCGAGCTCGATAAAGAAGAGGAAGTGTAAAAAACATTACTGATATTTTGTTGAGAAAAAACAATCTCCTTTGATTGTGTTGGAAAAGCAATGGTGAATTATGCAACACAGACACTTCAAAGAGCCTTCTGATTTGTATTCTAATGAGGGCCATTGCTTACCAAGCACTTCTTTAGCTATTAAAGACAAAATCATTTGGGTACACAACAAGTTGTATCTAAATACACACTGAGCAAAGTGTGCAAACCCATTCAAGCACACTGTTGATATTAGTAAAAAAAAAATTATAATAAAACACAGAGGAGACATATTTGAACAAGATTGTCCATTAAACACAAATGCTTCTGCTGTAAATTGCCTTCCCTTAACTTTATCCACCTTATCTAAGTGCTCCTACAAATATGTTTAATGTAGATACTGGATGTTTTACAGCAAAACTTTACTACTGCAAATAAAAGATCAAATAAAAAAAGTAGAGAAAACAGTTATTAGACACTTTTTGCTATAACAAAAAAACTTTAATTATATAAAATAAAGGTATTTTTTGCAAAAATAATTGCTTTATATTAAATGCTAAAACTGTCATGTAAGTAAGATAGCTATGCAAAACCAAAAAAATACAGCAGTCCCACTGGTTATTTCCAGATTACCTGACATCTTTGTGGTGCTGTGGCACTTAACATTTCCGAGTGATGAAAAATTCCCCGTAGTTTATGTTGACCTTTCTGAATGAGCGTTCTCTGAATTTCTCCACTTAAGCTCATAAAATATTAATTTAAGGTTGTATAGCAGGACTAGCTGTGTTTGTGATCCCAACAATCGAACTTAGTCTGTTCTTAAATCAGCTGAAAAGGCACAGCATGCACCACGAGCTGCAGAGACCAGACTGTGGAACAAACTTGGAGAAAGTGCTCTATTAAGGACGAGGAAGGATTAAAGTGAAGCAATAAAAAGTTCATCCCTTCTAGATTGCTTCACAGGCGGTCTGTGTTAGAGTACAAATGAAATGCCAACAAAATATATGGTGTAGTGTTTGGCAACTTTGTGTTAATACAGCTAAAATCAGTAGTGACAAAACCTAAATGCTCACAGCATTTATGGAAGTAATCAATCAAAAATGGAAACCAAAATGTTAGCTGGTCTGAGGCACCAAGATTTTTGTATAAAATTAAACTGACTGGCTAACAATAAATTTTAATTATTTAGTTGGCACAAGAATTAATACATAGAAATACAATAAATTAGCCTATTTAAAAGTAGTGTAGAAATACAACATAAAGTTATAGGACACATGTCAAACTCAAGGTCTGTGGGCCAAAAGTGGCCCACCACATGATGTTGTGGCCCACAAGGGCTTCAAAGATGTATTGTCAAAAAGCAAGCATATGTTACTTTAAAGCCAGCATTGACCATAAACTACATTTCCCAGAATGCATGTTGATTATTTTACCAGCAAACTGACTGCATCACCCCATTAGGTGGAGGTGCACAGGGTCCAAAAATAGCCAGCAGATGGCAAATTAACCTTTAAAAATATCCATTTTGCTACATTTTCACTGACTGTTTTCACTGCTGCCGGTTGTACTAGGAAGTGGGACTTTTCAACTTACAAGTTGTAAATTTCAGCTGGGAGAGTGGGAGCTCAATACAACTCAACAGTGAGTAAAAAATTACCTGAATTTTACCTTTAATACTATACCTGCATAATTTATTTGATATTTAATCATTGCGTTTCTGTGTTTACAAGATGTGTTAAAACACTGTTTCTACGTGAGAAATACCAGGTAGAGTTCATTTATTGTTTTTAGCTGTGCTCAACCATAGCAACAAGATGAGGAACGTGACATTTCATGTTTTGTCTAAATTAAACATGTCATGTAATTACAATTGGCTCTTTGAGAGCAACCATGATGGATTTGAGACCCCTGATTATATGCTTTGATTATCAACAACAACAAAAAAAATAAAAATAAATAAATGAAGGAAGGAAGGAAGGAAGGAAGGAAGGAAGGAAGGAAGGAAGGAAGGAAGGAAGGAAGGAAGGAAGGAAGGAAGGAAGGAAGGAAGGAAGGAAGGAAGGAAGGAAGGAAAATTGCTTTACTCAGAAAACTTTAATGTTAAAATATGTAATGGCTTATGCTTCTAACTTATCTGCATTTTGAACATCAGTGCAAGACAAAAGTGTCAAATCACACAAGTCACTCAGTCCAGAATCAAATCCAAAAACATCCAAGATGGCATTTTATAGCAGCAAACAAGCATATTAAAAGGTAATTTCATATGCATTTTCAATGACGACCACGTAGAAGTACAGGTAAGAACTGACTTTGATTCTCAAGGTAAACATTCAACAACAATAAACATATTAGGTAATGAATAAATACATTTGAGATGAGGAGACCTCTATAAAACTGCTGCAAACCAATGTCACACTTGTTTTTCTCCTTCAGTAAAGGTACTTTTGCTTTGCTGAAAGTTCTAAACTTTAAAGTGAAACTCAACTTCATGAAAAAAAAGGTGTTTGAGTAGGTCAAAGGAGGTGTCCTGAAGGGTAATGTGGCTACTTCCACAGGTTCTGTTCCCCTCACTCTTTCAGTCTGGCTGGCCGTATTAGTTTTAATGCTGCAATTGTCTTGAGAGTGTCCGGCTAAATAAGTTTCCATTTCCAGGTCCCAGAGCTCCTCAGTCTGAGTTTGACATTTGATGTCTGAGAAAATTTACTTTTGGCTCTACAAGGTGATGGAGGCAGCTGGTGGTTGTGTGATCCACCTGAGGACCAAGCACTGAACTGTTGCCCAGAGACAACACCACCAAACAGGAAGTCAGCGCATAAACTTTCTTTCTGTTGTAGTTTTTCAGCAGAGGTGTAAAGTAACAAAGTAGATTTACTTTGTACAGAACTGAGGATTTTTTGTTTTGTTTTGTTTTGAGAATTTGGTGTATATATATAAAAGGACTACTAAAACACAGTAAACAGAGCCTCATGAAATCAAAAGACTATAGGTGTCATAAAAACTCAAGCACAAGGTTTAAAATCTAAAACCTTAAATCTTAACAGAGTTTGGTAAATGTAAAACAATTTTCACATTTTCTTTCAGTTTAGTGGAACCAGTTGACATGATTTGGTCAAGTAAATTCAACACTTCACTTCTTAGAGTGTGTGTAAAATTACTTTTACGTTTCCAATTATTGTGAGAAGTTTTATAGGTTTCACTGAAGTACTTTTCTTATCAGTGACATTAATTTGCTTTTACTTTTTTTCCCAAATACTTTATATGCTATTATATAGGACAGTTAAATCCAATTACAGCGAGCTAGGGATACTTTTCGTATTGATAGACTTGTTAAACGGCTAAATCTTTTCAGAGTTTAGCACAAAAGTCATCATCATCAGGCGAACATCCTTAATGTAAAAGAGCTATTTTCTGTTTCAAAATCTTTGTCTCATCTATTTCATTTTTGGGGGGCAAGAGGTCAAATTAATCTATGCATTATCAGCAACTGGCAAAGTTTAACAGTCAAAGGCCAACAACTCCGCATTAGGATCAAAGTCTTGAAAAAAACTTTTTAGAGCATGATTTCTTTGTGATATACCATCTGATGAATACTCATGGAACTGTGTGGGTGTTTTGCATGTGTTTGATAAGAAAAGGGCCAGACTCGCAGTGAAGAACATTTCCATTAATTGCACTTTCCTAGGAAGATCAATCAGAGATCTGCTCAGTATGCATGTCCTGACGTGTACAGCAGACCGAGGGTCACAGTGACTTTAAAGCCAAAACTTTCAGCATTTTAATGAGGTTATGTGAATTATTGCACATGCCAGCTTATCCAGATGGACACGTAAACACACGCACGTACAAACCACCAATAATCATAGTTCCAAATGTGCAGCTAGTAATAAATCGTCGTCTCCCTGCTGTTGCACAGACAAACTCTCAGGCATGCAGAATATTGCATCTTTATAAGGTAAAAGTAATCACTGTTGGAGACCCTTACGTCCAGAATGGTTGTATTAAAGTTCTGGCAATGGAGCAGTAGATGTGACCTTCATGTGCAACTGAGACCAAACAATTTCCGGGGGGTTTAAATGAACAACTCCTTTGTCAAACACCACAAGACCATAAAGACGTTCGCTCCCATTCTCCAAACAAGTACCACCTAGAATTAAGAGGCAACCTACTTTTTCACTAGAGGTTATGGCCAA